TTATAGTTTAAGTGTAAATATATAATACCATCTATTTTGGACCATTGGTCCCTTTTAAAGGAACAAAATGGTCTATGAATCATGTGGTATAAAAGCAATACAGTCATTTCATTTTTTCCCCACAGTCATGCTCCCAGAAGCATTGATCTGTAAGAATTTGGAAGGAACTCAGTATAGACGAAATGTCCTGTTAAAATTTGTCGTATTTCTTCCCGCTGGAGAAGAATGTAGGCACCTTGCCTCTTTACTTAGAATACAGGTACTTGATCTGTGTGTAGACTGAAAGTGAATTAGTGTCTATGTTCTACTGGAAACTTCTAGGATTTTTCAGAAAGCACAAAATCGACAAAGAAGACGGAATCATGTATAAACTTGCACACGGAGGAAAAGTGTTGGGCATAAGAGGTGACTTTTCTTTGAAAATTGACAGGGAGGTGACCACAAAATTGCCAGCAGAGTGTACTAAAAAGTAGTACAGGGGAGCATGGCATGTGGCCATAACCCTGGGGACACTTCTCTGTTAAAGCAATAAACTCTGCTATCCATGCAAAATGGCACTACTTCTCCTTGCAGAATCTCTAGTGGGAGGGATATGAACTCCTGGCCTGTGACTAGCTGCCATAATCTTAAAATGTCTTTGAAGTTTGATATTTTAATTTAAACATTAATATGAATTTTAAATTTTCATGCAGGTATATATGTGAGTTTAATTTAAATTTGTATTTCCTCTCTCTTCATGGAATTCATCCTTAAATATTTTTTTTTCATAATGTTAGCTTCTAGAAATACATTGCTTTGACTGGAGTGGCTTCTTAATGCCCTTTGCTTCACTCAGCTGCATAAACAATTTTGAGAAGGCGGGAAAGGTGACATACAATGTAGAAATAGTTCCATAAAAATGGCTGAGAACAAGAACATCCTGGGAACTAAAGTAATAAATTTCAATTGCTGAAAAAAATGCCTTGTCCCAAAATAACATGTACAGGTGTGTTGTGAAGAAAAAGCAATTATTATTTATTTGGCTCCTGATAATTTCCCTTCCTTTAAAGAATTCTTAATCATTTTAATTTATATCTAATACAGAACATAAGGATACCATAGTGTACTTAAATTATTTAATCCTTAAAATAGTATATTAGCCATCTGCATTTTCTGAGTTTTAAACTGAAACATGGGTTGTTAATAAACTATTTTAATGTAGTCATGAAATGAATACTGCAATAATATTATTGTGTAGAATACAACCAACTTCTTACTAAACCACTACTGTTTCACCTTAAATAAGATAAAAAGTCATTAATAGCTTAAAAAATTGTAGATATTTCAAAAATATTAATACTTGGTAAGACTTGAGAGATGCATTAATCTATGGGTATAGCAGTAAGTCATTAGGAGTTCAGCTTAATACTATTTAGAAGAGTAACATTATTAAGCTCTCCTCTATGTCCCATAACCTGGCTAGCAGTAGGTTCCTAGGCCTAGTATCAGCAACAGGTATGGGCTCTATCTTGTGAAACAGATCTTAAATCCAATCAGAAAGCAGTTGGTTATTCTCAAAACATTTGTGCCAACTTGACTCGATAGGCCTTACCATGGCTTATATGGCAGAATATAGGCCTTAATATAGGTCTAATATGACAGAATGCATGAAATCTTGTGGGCTATGGGGGCGGTGCAGACAGGGGAGTGAGTCTAAATATGATTAAGATATAGGTAATGCATAAAAATTCCAATGTATTTAGTGTTTCATTAGAATGAAGGTAAAAAGATGCATTTGATCAGGTCACCGCCCTCAAAGAGCAGATGCATATGTATGTGCATTTACCAGTTTACTTTAAATACCTACTGAGTGTGTTTAGGTGACAAGGAACATAAAGTATGACCCCTGGCCTTAGGAACGACTGGTCCTCTAAATATAACAGTGAATGGGGTTTAACTTCTGTGTAAGTATATATAAGCACAGCAAAAGGAACATGATTTTTAAAATACTTTATTATTTTTATGTGCATGAATGTATGGTGTGTATGTATCAAGTGCACCCATGTCATGTAATGCCCATAGAGGTCTAAAAAGGGCATCAGGTCCTCACAACTGGAGTTACAGACAGTTGTTAGCTGCTGTGTGTGCTGGTAATTGAACTGAGGTCTTCTGGGAGTGCTCTTAAACACTGAGCAATCTCTCCAGCCCCAGGAGCATGATTTTGCAGCAATATTTTTCCCAATTATTCAGAAAGAATTTACGCTTATATCCATACTAAAATTTAGTATGCACTGAACGGTAAGAGGTTGATGAAATGCTAGTAAAGTCATAATCTGTTTAACCGACTGGCGGTAGGTCACTGAACATAAAAGACATTAAAATAAAATAAGATTTATCAAATTGAAAACAACTGCAAGCACTTTATATTTCTAAACTATTAGACTTCAACAGGAGAGTGTAACACTGATGTCACACAAGTTATATTAAGTGACCAGAGTGTGACTTTGGGAACAAGAACATTCTTTTTTAT